GCACCCCTCAGGGCCTTATGCTAATGGGTCCTGGATTGTTAGACTTTTTAAATTCTCTCGTCTGTGTTTTGTGTTTTTGGGGTGGTTCTTTTGTTGCCAGCTTTTGCTTTTCTTTCCTATCAGGTGCCTCTAGATCCCTTCTTCCCAATGAAACTCACACTTTCTTCCTCACAGCATTTGTGAGGTTCAGACAAGGCAAAGTAAAGGCATCAGAGCTGTGAACTCCAAAGGCCTCTGTCCATACCCTCTGTCCTGAGCCCTGGTCTTGAGCACCCCCATCCATGCGGCTGGGGAAGAGAGAATTGGACCAGGAGCAGCCAGGAAAATTACAAATGCCACTGCCTGCTAGCTTGGGCAAATAAGTAACCCTCTTGAGAAACTTCAGTTTTCTGAGTTGTAAATGGAGATTATACTGTCTCTCCATATTTTCTTGAGTTGCTGGGAGGTCAGGAAAAAAAGGAAACCCCCAAAGGTGTGTGTTAAAGTGCGTGTAAACCCAAGTGCCATTCAAGTATTCATTCATTGGTCATTTGAATTAATGTGCAGGTCTCTTACACCCTCACTCTGAAAACTGCTCGAGAGACGTGTTAATTCTCTGAGGCTTGTTCTTCTGGAGGTACTCAGCTCCTGGTTCCCTCCTTCCCGCAGGCTCTGGGTAAAAATGCCGAGTCAGCAATCATCCATCTGCCCGCCTCCTTCTGGAGCTCTCACATAGTTTTAGCACAGTGCAAATCAGGTTTAACCACAGCGCATGCACCCACACGTACACATGTGCATGTGTCCTCTCCCCTCCCCCCCATGCATGTACAGAACGGTGCTGGATAAGCTCTCTGCCTCCCATGGCACATTTGGAAGTGTGATTTTAGTTATGCCTTCTTCCTTATGTAGTATTCTCTGCTTGTTTTCAAGATAGTACTTCTCTCTTAGGACCGAGTTTGAACACTAAAACTTTCCCCTTGCTTTTGGTAACTGTCTTCATTTTAGGGCAAGTAGCAGGTATTATGTCTCAGAACACATTATTTTTGAATCTGGGGCTCTCCTCACCCATGGGAATATCATCTACCTAGAATCATAAATCTGATGGGGTAAGCAAGATACGGCCTCTGCCCTCAAAGGGCTCATGCCGTCTAAGAGATTCTCGTAGAAATAGTTGCAGTTTACTAAGGCCTGTGTGCCAAGCACTGTGCTAAGAACTGTCTTGTGTAATACGGAGTCGCGTATAAATGACAGAGCAAGGAACAAAGGGCACTGCCAGTGGCGGTTTTGAAAGCAAATGGGGAGCTAGGTGTGAAGGAAGGGGAAGTGTGCTTTTTCCTGGGTGGAACTGTAAAAATGCTTTCCTCCCCGGCCCACAGTGCAAACAGAATGGTCTCTTTTACTTGATTGAATGACCGTTGTGCATTTGGACCAACAGAAGTATCTGATGGTTAGAGTTGTTTATTATTTGCTGGAGAAAATTCAGTGTAACCAGATCAGATGACCTATTTCTATGGCCCATCTGCTGGAATATGAAAATAACACTACTATTTGGGACTCTTATTTTTCCTTCCATTATTCTATTACATCTATTACTCACAGTAATGGAAGGCTGGATGCTCACTTATAGGTGATGCTGTGACCAGGATTCCAGCCTCAAATGGGGGAGGGGCAATCTTTATGATCCCTGTCAATCCTGATAGTCTATAATTTTAACTTTATGGGTATTCTCAACTATTATACATTGATGCAGTGTAATTCAGTTTTTAAAAACCTTCAGAAAAAGACGGTAATTAGAATGCTCTGAAAATTCAAGTGGTCATTCTCTGAACAACTGATTTAGAAATATTAGTATTGAATCAATCACTAATTTGCTCAGTGCGGTGTATCTTAAGCTTGTATTTTTAAAATCTAAAATGCACATCATACATTTTAGAAATGGTATATCAAGGCCTGTTAAATAACTTGAGACATCTAGAAGTTTTAGCTCAGGCCCTTGGCTCCATTCAGAAGAGTTTCTATCCAGACCCAGGCTGGATAGAGTCCTTTGGGAAGAAAAGGTTAATATATACTCAATGAAGAGTCATTTTTTACTTTCTCTGGAGAAGGCAAAATAAGACTTGAGAACCGACCACCAGGCAGAATTTGGGTGGTGATGCCGGAGTATGCCCACTTGCTTTTGCCAAGTTCAAGTGGTGACCTGTACATTAAGAGGACCATAGACATATCTACATATGAATATGCTGCAGACGCACTTGGCATCTCTCAACAGAGATCGTCCCTGGCTAAGAATTGCTGAAAAATAATTGGGACTCCTATTCTCCATTGATTTATGTTGTAAAAGAAGAGATGTGCTTTGTTACATTTTGACCTTTGGACGAGCTTAGAATAGCACACTAAAACAAATTAGGTTAAAACTTGACAGATTTATAAGAAAAAAGCAACTTTCTGATAAAAGATTAAGAATGCAGATTATTAGCCAAAGGACTGAAAACTCAAACTGCCGTTCTGTACAGTGGTTACCCAGTGGAGATCATAAAATAAAAAGTTGAGGTTTAGTAGAGAACCTGAAACTGTTGGCAGAGGGCTGCTGTCCCTCACCTCCATCTATAAATTGTTTATTAGAGAGGTAGCAGGCATCCAAGATTTAACAAATGGGAGACTTACTCCAAACTTCTCTCTCCTTAACTTAAAAAATAAAAAACCCTGAATTATTAGTTGTGTAATGAATCATTTTGACTTTTCTAGAAGTTCCACTAGGTGATGTCATGGCTTGCTGCTGTGTCCCTGGGTGGTAGGAGAGAGCAACCATTGTGCATGAGTGTGTGCGTACACACACGTACGTGTGCTGAGACATGTGGTTGTCTGGCAACAGTCACATGTCAAAGAGCAATTTGCAACTCAGAACCACAGAGCGAGTTTGTTTTCCTATTCTGTCTGTTCCAGTTATTTAACTGATGGCAGAAGTCCTCATTAAGGGCTATTAGCACATCAGGATATGTTTGCTGAGCCTGGAAAGGGGCTAACCCTTTTCGGACATTGACCAGAATACATAATCTAGGGTAGCCAGTCCCTCCTATTAGTGGCAAGGGTAAGAAGCACAAGAGGGCTCAGGATCCCTTAGCGGGAAGTCTTTTTTTTTTAGCAAGAGTTTATGTTTCCATCAAAGAATTCCTTCAGTCAAGAATGTAACACTATAAAGGAGGATTCAGCTATATGTCGAAACATTGTTATTATTATGCCCCCGCGACCCCCTCCCAAAGGGTGTTTCTTGATTTCTCTTTGCTGACCAGAACCATATGGCAAATTAGGGGATGGCTAGTTTACAGAGACCTTTGATAGCTCCCAAGAAAGAAACCAATAGGGGAGTGAATAGAAGTAGAGATCAGGAAAGAGATTTGAAGGGGGCTCCAGTTAGATGGATAGAAATGTGCTAGAAGGGAGGGTGGGACCCTTGATCCGAAGTGTAAAGTGACAGGCAGTCCTAGAAAGTCAGTCTAAGGTCCAGTGTTACCCAGGCTCCTTCACCCACCTGCATGGCAGGCCTCTTTATGTATTCTTATCTACTTCTGAGCCCTTGAAGGACACTGCTGATTGTGTTATCTGTCGCGCCATGTCCATAATATTATGAGGGTGCTGATGAACACAGGAGAGGCATGGAATCCCACCTAGTGATGCTGCCCGGTTTACATTTAGTCTAGATTTGTAGTTTTCACTTCTGTGTAATTGGTCGCCAGTATAAACTTGGCTAAAATCTAAACTTTTGAGAGTGATTGCATTATCTCTTTGCACCCTCTCAGAGGGCAGTGTGTGTATAAAGTTCTTCCGAAACCACTAAATGATTAACTGTGACTGGGATTGTTTAGCAAGGTCACACTAAAGCACTGACGTCTGTTTTGTAGGTAAGAGGCTAACATGCCAGCGGAGAAGAGATTTTCAGGGAAAGAAAGTACACAAGAAAACAAAAGTAGAGACTTGCCGGATCGGAGTTTTTTTCTATCAAGTTTCACTGACATAGGAAAAAAAAACGTAGATAAAAAGCAACTTAACTGAGTGTTTTATTTTGAGAGATCCCACCCCTCCTGGAATCATGGCAAGATCGTCGTCACCTTCCACATGAGGTAGACATGACTTCAGCCTCCAGGGCTGCTGGTTCCTTGTGTAGCCTCAGCAGCCTAAGCTGTCTGTAGCTCAGTTTCCTCATCAGAAGCAAAAGACCATGTCTTTTACCTCAAGTTGTTCAGAGGATTAAATTAGATACAATTTGTGAAAGCTAGTGCCTGTTAGGCACTTAACAAAGGCAGTTTCCCTTCCTCCTTTCTCTTCTGCTTTTAAAAATTAAGATTTGGGCATACTATAAATGAATAAAATGCATATCAGTGTAGAATTTGGGCCAGTTGAAGGATAAAGGCCGGAGAAGGAGAGCAAACACACGTGGGAACAAACGGGAAGTGGGCAGGTTCACCAGCTTTCTGCACATCCAGCAGACTTTGGAAGGTGTGGGGTCACAAACCAAATAAATAAAAAGTATTTTTTAAATTGTAACAACAAGAAAAAAGGCTTACAAAAACGTTGTCAGAGTCAGCCGAATATTTCAGGCTCCATTTGGAGACTGGAAGCTCAGGAATTTTGGAAATACTACTCTTTCTTCATTTTCAGTGATAGAAACCTCAAACTTCCTGCTGTGGAAAGTGGGGGTGGCCACTGAGTTTGTTATTTTTTTTTTTTGGTCAAGAAAAGGATTGTTTCTCTGGATGGATGCTGCCATCTGATGTCTCTAAGTGGCACTGCGGCTTCACCTCTAGCTCTGAAGAGCTCAATGGAGTTAAATTGAGAGTCAGAGGTTCTTGTTTCTGCCTTGAGGATTTAGGGGTGAAGGTAGGTGAGTGAATTTTTAAAACCAAGTCAGCTTGGATATACATTTTTTTTTTTTTGTAGTGGTCAAAAATTTGAATTTACTCCTTATGTTTTTCTTCCTTTTTATTATAGTAAAGGTGTCCAGTGGAGTTATGGAATGTGGAGTCACCAGACATCTACACAGGAGCTCTGTAGGATAGGCTGTGACTCCAGCCTTTTTCTTAGCTTTTTGTTTTTGTTTTTGTTTTTTGTTTTCTAGGGAGTTCGTGGCGCAGATACCATGCTATCTGATTCCAGCTCTTGAAGCTCTGAGTAAAAGATTTGTAAAAGCCCTTTTTCTGTCACACTGTACAGGATGTGAAGAGCTTCTACAGGAACAGTCTCATTTTCTCCCCTAAGGTGTGGGCCGCGGAAGCATTAACATTGAGACTTATCGATGGGGAAGCAGGCTGTGAGTCGGGGCTGACCAGGTGGCCTGAGGGCAGGTCTGTGTTTTTACTCAATCCCAGGCGAGCAGTTCGTCAAGGGAAGGATTTCTCAAGAATGAGCTTATTGACTGATATAGATCACTGAGGGTCTGGAGGATAAGCGTTTTCTGTTTTGGAGTGATGTAGGTGCCGAAGGTCAAGGAATGGCCCAGAAGATCCCTGATGGCCCCACCAAGCCCTGGTGCTCGTTGAGTGCCAGGGGGGTTGGAACCTCTCCTCTCAGGCAGGAGGGGTTTGGCTAATGAAGCATCTGACCAGGGTTTCTGGTTTAGGTATCTCCTCCCTAGCTCTTCCCCTTTGTAAAATGTGGAGGGTGGTGGTACCCAACTTCCTTCTTTCTCAGGTTTGAATGATGGGGATACGGTGGCGCCTCAGAGCATGCTGAAATGACGTGTGTCGTTTTCAGAACAGGTCCCGTCCACCATGGGATGAACACGCTGAGGCCCGGGCTGGTCTCGCTTGGTTCACGTCAGGGCTGTGGTAGTAGCCAACACCACATGCCGTTGGAGGCGGTGTGCGGGCAGCTCCAAGGCAGCGAGGGCACCCAGGTCTGGAGCCAGGAGACCAGCTCCCCTTCAGGCGCTGGCACCAACTTTGTGAGCAAGTCACTTAAGCTCTCAGCATTAGTGTCCTCAAGTATGAAACGAGGAGAGGAGAGTTAGCATAGCTCGTTTCTGTGGCTCTTTGAAGTTTTAAAGCTTGCTGAGCTTGAAAATCTACGAGTATCTATCTGATAAATGTCCTCATGTTTTGATTTATTAATGCAGTCATGTGTCACATAACGATAGACCACAGATACGATTGTGGTTCTATGAGATTATAATAGAGCTGAAAAATTCCTGTCACAGCCATTCCAATGTAATGTGGTGGCACAATGCATTACTCCCGTGGTTGTGGTGATGCTGGTGTAAACAGACCCACTGAGCTGCCAGTCGTATGCAAGTACAGCACATACAATTATTTACAGTACATTATATGTGATAATGATAATAAATATGTTACTGGTTTATGTATTTACTATATTATGCTTTTTGTCTTTATTTTAGACTATTCTTTTTACTTATAGAGAAAGTTTGCGGTGTGACAGTGTGCCTGTTACGCCGGCCAGCAGCCTCATGCATCTTGTTTACCGTGTCTCTTGATCACATCATTTTCTCTTGTGCTTGATTCAATCTCATGTTGTTTTATATAGTAACATGCTGCACAGTCTTGTAGCCTAGGAGCAGTAGGCTACACCAATATAGATGTGTAGTAGGCTATACTATCTAGACTCTGTGATGTTCACATAACAATGAAATCGCCTAACAGCGCTGTTTCTCAGAATGTATGGTGGTATCTCTGTCGTTAAGGGCACTGTGGCCTTATCATATATAGGACCCAACCTAAGGAAGTGGTGTGAGTGTGTGTTTGCTGAGGTTGAGTTCAGAGAATGCTCCCTGCAGGCAGAGCAGTTCAAACAGCACAATACTGGATATAGCCCCCAAGTACGATGGTAAAGGACTTGTTAAATGAGGAATGATGCATCTGCCTTAGAAAATACTGTGTGGCTTCTAAAAGTGATTTTATAGAATAACATTTAGTGATATAGTAAAACCTACACAAGGTATTAAGTGAAAATTCAGTTTTCCAAACCACGATAGCATTTTGTAGAAATAAAAGTATGTAAATATATGTATAGGAGAAAGCGTGGAATGCTATCTAGGAAAAGTGGGTATATCTGGGAGGCAGCTTCTTGCATGATCTGTTTTTCTTTATGCTTATCACTATTTTCTAAATGTCCTACGAAGAATAGATGTTACTTTTGTAAAAAGAAATAATCGTGAAAGTTACTTTAAAATGTTTCATCCGTTTTAATGGACACTTATGGCTCCTGCTGTGTGTAGGGTTCTGTACCAAAAGCTTCCTGATTCCTCCAGAAAAATGAATAAGACTCTGTGTTCCCTTTCCCTCCCCAGGAAACACAGCAGCATGGCTAGTGTGTTGTCCCGGCGCCTTGGTAAGCGGTCCCTCCTGGGAGCCCGGGTACTGGGGCCACCCGGGGCTGCCCCACCTTCAGAGCCTCAGGCGGAGCTGCTGGACGGGGTGGCTCCCCAGCCCTTCCTAGTCTCTAAGGATACTTCCTGCCAGGAGCAGCTCAAGGAAGTTCTCAAGGCTCCCGGCACCTCAGGCCTCCAGCAGGTGGCCTTTCAGCCAGGGCAGAAGGTAGGTTGATCCCCGTGTGTGGACAGGTGGCTCATCCTCCCAGGCTTGGGGCCGGCAGGCCAGTGGTGCCCCAAGCAACAGGCTGGAAATGCTGGGCACCGGTTTGTGCACAGACCTGTCCCTTGCAGCCCTGTGGGCCCTTGGGTGGCAGGCTTCCGGAGAGAGTGAACCGACATCAGCAGACCCAGGGCTCCTCCACGACAGTGCTGTCTGGAGGAAAAGCTGGCAAGACCGGACACCTGACATTCTTAGGCCTACTCAGAACCTCAGTTCCAAGCTTGACCAGAGCTCAGTTTCTCTTAATCTGCCTCAATTTGCAATTTTGCAAAACGAAGGAAAGAATCTCAGCTTTTTAAGAGACAGATAAGATTATATCTTTGGAGTTACTTTTAGACATTTTTAAGAGAGGAAGGTGTTTGTTTAGTCAGGATACATTTGGATTTTCTTTTCTAGTGTTTTCTCCCCTCGTGTCAGGGCTCAGCTCTCACCCGTACCTGATATTATCACTAGGTCCACATGCATGGGCTTCTCTTTTATTACCTTTTTAAGGGCCCATAAATAGATACCCTCCGGTCTGAGGCTTCTGTTGTCCAGGCCTCGCTTCCCAGGAGGTAAAACAACCAACTGCTAGAGAGGTCAGCCTACCTCTCCACCTCTACCATCTTGTTTCTAGGTCTTCAGACTCAGAAGTCTGTGAAGCGCAATATGCAGGTTGAGCAATTCAAGGCAGTAGTTGGGAACCAGCAGATATATAGGACTTCTAAGGCAAGGCAGGGCAGAAAATCAGGAGGATGGACACAAATTCCAACTTCATTTGGGGAATTTAATCCATTTACATTTAAAGTAATTATCAATAGGTAAGGACCTACCATTGCTGTTTTGTTCGTCGTTTTCTGACTTTTTTAGTTCCTTGTTTCTTCCTCTCTCTGTATTCCTCTGTGATTTGTTGATTTTGTTGTAGTCTCTGTTTTGGTTCCTTCTCTTTTTCTTTGTGGTTACCACAAGGCTTAGAGAAAACATCTTATAATTCTAAAAGTGTATTTTAAGAGAACAGCTTAGCTTCAACTCCATATAGATTCCAAGTTCAGAAAAAAATTCCAGAAACTGACATGTTCACTCTCACCATGTAGAGCGTTTGTAAGGATCTGTTTGGGAAAGAACCAGTCCACTGTGGCTTGTGTGGGTGCTCAGGTGGGAAGCAGGTACCTGGGAACCTCTGCTGGAATTAAAGATGAGTCAGAGAATGCAGTGTGTGACGGATGGATCCTGGCTCGCAGAGCTCGGGGCATATTGGGTGAGAACTACCAAGTGCTGACCACTGGTTGCTGTTTTCCTCTCCGCCCAGGTTTATGTGTGGTATGGGGGTCAAGAGTGCACAGGACTGGTGGAGCAGCATAGTTGGGCAGAGGACAAGGTGACTGTTTGGCTGTTGGACCAGAAGTTGCAAATCTGCTGTAAAGCAGAGGAAGTGTGGCTGGCGGAGCTGCAGGGTGCCTTTCCCCAGGCGCCCCCTCCGGAGCAGGGAAGCCAGGCGCCAGCCTACAGGCCTGTCTCCAGGAACATTGACGTTCCAAAGAGGTTTGTGGGGGAGAACCTGGGCTCTGAAAGTCATGTGGGTGGCGAGGTATGGAGTGGTGGGGTGTTTTGTGATGGGGAAGGAATGTGGAAGTCCTGCATGTCTAGTTGTCAAGATATTGGACAAATGAGACACAGAGAGAGGGCATCCTTTAGAACTGGTATCTTTTCTTCCCTTTATATCTTTGGTTCAGCTAAGGGCTGTCTTTTCCTCCCTTTATGCTTAAATTGAAATTAGTTCTTCGTTTTTGATGAGAGACGGAGAAAATGGCTTAAATCAGGAGCCAGCAAACTTGTTCTGTGTCAATAATGTAGGCTTTGTGGGCCAAGCAATCTCTGTCACAGCAACTCATCTCTGCCTGGTGGTGTGAAAGCAGCCACAGACGGTGCAGAAACAAATGGGCACGGTTGAACTCCAAAAAAACTTGACTTATGGACACTCAGATTTGGATTTTATATATTTTCATTGGTTACATGTCAAGAAATAATATTGTTCTTTTGATTTTTAAAATCACTTAAAATTATAAAACCATGCTTATAGCTCATACCACACAAAAAGCAGGTGTCAGGCCATGTTTGTCCCACAGCCCATAGATTGTGGACCCCTGGCTTATATATTTGAAACCACTGACAATGAATGAAGAATGTATATCTTGCTTTAGAATTTTATGATATCATTTTTTTTCCCTGAGACTATTTATACATATATACCCTAATTACTATGTTATATGTTCTACATACATTGATCTTTTAAGATTAGAAAAGAAAGTCTGCTGATGGCGATTGTCTTATATTCAGGATGTGCAGCAGTGAAATCTCATTCCACCTTTCCGTGTGTGGCTGTGGATACTGCTGTTATTGACAGTGCAGCCGGTATATTGAGACCAGACAAGAGCAACGATATTTGTGATTGTGAATTCAGTGGAATGTTGGCAAAGAACTTGTTTTTCTATTCTGTGGAAACAAAAATACAAAGATCATATAAAAAGAAGGGAGATGCTAATATGATTAATATATTACGGGTCTTGGTTTGGCTATGTTAAACCCAGTCACATATTTTGGTGGATCTGAATTGTAAAGAATGGATTAATAAAGTCCTTTGAAACAGATGAGCCACCTAGAAATTTATTTTAGGCTAACTTTCCATACTTTAGACTTATAGACAGCTCTAAATTTACTTCTACAAATGTAACTTTATATGGATTTTTAAGAATTACACATAAAATTTTATAGACCTCTGCCATGTAAAGCATTGAGATTTGCATCAGGAGATTTATTTTAGTGATTCTGGTTTACTTGCTCGTTGGCTTTATGTACTAGGTTTTGTTGACATTCAGAAGCCAGCAGAATACCTCATCATTTTTCTCGTAGGGATGGGAAAGGGATTGGTTAGTGTAATTGTTCCCTCTTAAATCTGAATATAAGACCGAAAAAGAAAGGGAATTTTTGCGCTTTCAAATTCCAGCGGGCATCTTTTATGCCCGGGCTTTACTTCATTGCTTTGACTCTTCTTCTTATCCCCCCAAGTAAAATCCCCTATTTTGAGCTGCAGAATGAGGAAGTAAATTCAGGGGAGAATGGAGCTGCCCCTAGGTGTTTGTGGGATAGGGACTGACCTGCTCCTACTGGGGTTGACTGATACTGTAAACGTAATTCAGAATGAGTATTTTTCATGAAGAATGAAGAGACCTTCATGCTTTATATAACGTACACACTGGCTGATTGGAGTGGGGATGTGGGAGGATACAGTCCAGAAATATAAGATGACCGCGTGACCTGCAGTCTCAGAAACTAACCTTTGGCACTCACCTGCTTGAATCTAGGAAGTCAGATGCAGTGGAAATGGATGAAATGATGGCGGCAATGGTGCTGACGTCCCTGTCCTGCAGCCCAGTCGTGCAGAGTCCTCCTGGGGCCGAGGCCAACTTCTCTGGTGAGGAAGGGAGTCCATGTGGGTTCGGAGTGACTGACTTCCTCTGCTTTGAGCAGCGGGCCTGGCAGGAGGATTTTAGAGTCTCTTCTCACTTGCATCCCAGACTGGCTGAGTGACATTGAGTTAGATGCTTCCATTCTGTCTCCTCAGTTTCCTCATCTGGGGAGAAGTTTCCTGGTGCATTGTGAAGATGATTGAGCACGGGGCTGAGCCACACTGGCCACTTGAGTAAGTTCTTCTATGGGAGTAAGTGAGTGAGGCACTTTGGTGGGGGCCTGAACAGGCCAGTAGAGGAATATTTAGTTCACACAGGTAGAAATTTACTAAATGATCCCCTAGTGGCCTCAGGAGGTTCATGCCCCCATTCCAAGTGCCTAATTCAGCCTTATAAATTAGTGTGGGCCTACAGGCCCAAGATCTGGAATAAACGAGCTAAAGTCTGAAATAAATCTAATTGCTTTGTTCAAAGCGATAGTATGACTTCACAGCAAATTTATAAATTAAAAGAAACTAGTGTGACTCCCCAAAGTACATTATCAGTAACATGGGAGGAAACAGGGTTGCTGGATATTAGTAATTTGATGAGACCGGTAGTGAACCTGAAGGTTTTTTTTGGAATTCATTATAGGGCTGGCCTAACTTACTCCCAGGGAATAACTTTTTCATTGGTGAGATCTAACCGAATTGCGAGCTGCTTAAAAGCTTATAGGAAAATGTGGAGTTAGCTCTGAAAGTGTACCATAAGGAAAGGGGCCTTTACAGGAATCCCTCATGAGTAATCTTCCTATATAGAAAGTAAATTTAAAGGAGTGATAAAGCAAATTTACTTATTTCAGCCGAAGTCTGTCACCAGTGACGAGCTTTCTGAAGTCATTATGTCTGTTGATACCTAGTGGCGAGGCATAGCATTGTGCACCTGTTCTTTTAGCCCTTGGGAGCTACGCAAGCAAAATGGAGAGGAAAGGAGTCAATTTTAACTTCTCAGGAAATTCTGTGCGTTTAGGAGATCCAGGACGTTGGTCAACAGGAGGAAGATTCAGATAAGTGGCATAAAGGGCAAGAAAATCATTGACTACAATTCCCATTAGGTTGTGTGTGTGCGTCTGTGTGTATAGAATACCTACATATATGTTCACACGTACGCACACACCCCAGCACCAACTTAGACACATCTAACTGATGATATGCCATGATCCTGATATCTTAAGTCCATTTTGGACAAAAAAATTTAAATTGTTTATTAAAGACTTTTTCCATTATATATTTCCATTATAACATTATTTCCATTATAATATATTTTCATTATAATATGTATTTTTCGTGATAATATGTAATATAATGTGTTTGAAGTCAGTGGAAAAAAAGGCTTCCTTGGCAGCTCATGATGTCAAAGTATTCAACATCAAGGTGATGTCTACACAACAACTGAAACCTTGTTCTAATTACGAATTCTCTTTGCACAGAAACTGCCATATCCTTTAGTTTCTGTATCGTTCGGATGGCTCTGTGTGTGTGTGTGTGTGTGTGTGTATGGAGAACAGAGGGGATTACAAATATTTCTTAGAGGTTCACTGTGAATTCATTGCTTTGTATTTGCAGGGGAGCTCTTTCTTCTCATGGTATAATGTATCTATTACTCTGCCCTGGGAAAGCTTATGATCTAAGGTTCATTCATGTTCACCGTATAATGTATAGATTAATTTATGATATTAACTTTTTGCTTTGTTTTGTGTTTTTCTTCCTTTGTATGCCAACTTGCTAGTTTCGGCGTTTGAGCCATTCTGAGGGTTCTCTGTGGATGGCTGCTGTGTTGTGGGGTTTCCCTGCCCTTTGACCTGCCCTTTTTTCCAGAGTCCGGATTGCACTAGATATAGCATTCTGTTCCCTTGCCCTTCTCTCCACGAGGGGACGTCTGTGGGGGCTCTTGACCCATTGGCCTGTTGGCGGCTCCTGAGTTCTTCTCTGAAGAGCTACCCTATTTTAAGTCCCATGTGTAGATGTCATAAACTTTTGGTTTCCAAGAAGTCATAGCATTGGGACTTGAAGGTGATATTTCAGGAGGGAAGAGTTCATCCATTCCACTCTGTCTGGATGCGCTTCTCCTGGTGCGTGAGCTTTATTTAATTCAGGAGAGGCTGCACTGGAAACATGGAATGCTGGAGGTGCATTCCAGGTGTCTCGTCTAGCCTAGAAGCAGTTTGGGATATGGAACAGGGTGAGACAAAAAGCAGGATTTTTATCTTGGTCACGAGGGATCTGGTACTTGATCTCAGAATCCAGCGTCAGGAGCTCTGTGGAACATCTGTGGGAGTTGGGGCTTTTGGAGACATGGCCACCATACTTGTGTCACAGTTTTTTTCCCCCCTGTGTATCAGAATTATAGGTTTTTCTATACTGTAAATGAATCTGGATTTATGGCCTAATAATGGAAGAGTCTGGGTTGGGCCTAAAGTAGCCTGAAGACAAGCATTTAAAAACTGAAAATTTTACGTGTCTCACTGTGATCTGGCTGGAGCAGACAGAGGGTTCAGGGCCATGTCGGGCGTAAGGGCCTCCTGTCATCTATTTTTGGTCTGAATTGCTGTCAGAGCTTATCTTTCCTTTTCTAAATATGTTGCTTGTGGTTAAAAGTCGGAACCACCTGGGCTGCAGCTACCTCTGGTAAATGTTACACGTCCCATCAGCTGTAAGAGCTGGCTGAATGGTTACTTCTTACACGCAGGTTTCGATGGACTTGCCCAGGTTTAAATGTTTGAAAGGCATTTTTCAAGAAAGCCTAGTCTATAAGCTCTTAACTTGGCCTTTTCATCCTCCTCTGCTATAGGGAAGGCTTCCATCATGGTGCCTGGCACACGTGTCTGCTCACGTTCCCACCCACCCTTTTAGGCCTAGAGGCAGGAGAGGCTTTGCCCCTCGCCCTCCTTTCCTCATGCTATTTTTTTAAACATGTAAAATGAGAAACACACTCTAATTAGGCTATCTTTCTGTTCATAATGTGCAAAATGAAGTTGTACTATACATTGGTTGGTCAGTGATTGTCAACATAGCTGTGACAGGAGATGTCCACTGGAGCAGAACAGGGCTACCCAGAGAAATTACTGTGATGAATGGACCTACTCCTCATTTTTACTGAAGCTCGGAAAGGTGAGGTTTTTTTTTTTTTTTTTTTTTGTTCCCCTGGAGTGGCAAAGCCAGGCAGAGCCAGGAATCAGATTCGGGAACATAGACTCCAGACTAGAATTCCGTGGTCTCTGACCTGGGCTGTCCAGGCGGAATCTGGTGTACACAGAACCATGCCAGGAGCCATGCCTGGGGACAGGCCTGTGAGCATCCTCTGTCTTCTCTCCGGCCAGCTTCTCGCCAAGCCTGTGACCCGTGGAAGGAGAGCGGGGATGTGTCCGACAGTGGCAGCAGCACCACGAGCGGGCACTGGAGTGCGAGCAGTGGCGTTTCCACCCCCTCGCCCCCCCACCCCCAGGCCAGCCCCAAATACCTTGGCGACGCCTTTGGTTCTCCCCAAACTGATCATGGATTTGAGACCGATTCGGACGCTTTCCTTTTGGATGAACCAGCTCCACGTAAAAGAAAGGTACGTGGTGTGGTGTGAGCATGAGCTGAGGATGGTGGGGCTGACGTCCACGTGGGGCCAGCCTCTGGGGGGACGCGGCCTCTTAGGTCCTAGGTGTTCTCAGGCTCCATCCCATTTCAGTTTTCCTTTGCTGCCTCTGTTCCCTCATGATATTCCCAGGAGCCCTCAGTGATGCCCGTTCTTGCCGCTTTTCACCTCGGCCCCGGTTCCTGCCTTCTTCGCTACACTCCTTCGGAGGCCTGTGCACACGCAACCTTCAGGGGGTTTGACCCACAGCACCAGGCAGTGCTGCTGGCCGCCAGGCCCATCCCCTGGGTCCAGGCCGATTGCCCCTGCTTGTCAGTGTCTTTGGCCCGGGACAGCCCGTTCCCTAGAGCATTTCGTTGGGTTCTGCAGGAAGGCGGCTGAGTCTCCACAGGCTGAGGGTGAGAGAGGCTCGGGGGAGAGGAGCATATCCCCATGACCCCATCTTCCTCTTCCCTAGAACTCTGTGAAGGTGATGTACAAGTGCCTGTGGCCAAACTGTGGCAAAGTTCTACGCTCAATTGTGGGCATCAAGCGACACGTGAAAGCCCTCCACCTGGGGTAGGTATGGATGGAGCCCAGGGCCTCTTTGCCTGGGGTACCACTCAGGGCCGATTCCCCATGACACACACCCAGAATGCTTCCAAGAAAGTGACTTGCTGAGAGTGCCACCTGGTTCCTGTCCCTGGCTCCCATGCCCAAGGCAATAGCCTGCTGGAGAGAGATCTTTGCCAGGAAGGAAGGGCCCTCTTACGGCGGAGATGTTGACACAGTCCATGGGAAAGGGCTCTACCCTTCTTGTGGAGGCACCTTCTTGCCTCACTGTAGGAAGCAAGATGTTTTAGTAGAAAAGGGGTAATCGGGTGAGACCCCTTCGTGCAGCCTGTGCCTGCGTCCCCTTAACACTGCCTCCCTGGAGCCCGGGCTGCTCACGGCGGAGGAACTGGCTGACAGCCCTTTCCCCTCGAGGAGAGAACGTGACCACAGGTAGGTGGGGCCCAGGCAAGACCCGTGGCAGAGCTCCGAGTAAGGTGACTCCTGTAGGGGGAGAGGTTCGCACATATTCCGCAAGAGAAGCCTTTGGTGCCAGAAGAAACAGTTCCTACTGGTGTGAAAGCACGTCCTCCCCTGCGGCGTGGCACGGGGAGCAGACTCCTGGGTGTTCTCTCGGGCTCTGTCCCTGACTGGCCGGGTGGCCCTGAGCAAGCACAGCCTCTTGCACTTCAGTTTCCCCTGTGTTTGAACTGAGGCAACTTGTCCCTGATCATCACCGTGTCTCCCTCCCACACAGGGACACTGTGGACTCCGACCAGTTCAAGCGGGAGGAGGATTTCTACTACACGGAAGTGCAGATGAAGGAGGAAGCTGCTGTTGCTGCTGCTGCCGCTGCTGGCACCCCCACAGCCGACCTAGCTCCCATCCCCAGTGTGACCAGCCCACCCCTTGCCATTCTTCCACCGCCTCCTCCCAAAGCCCAGACCTCAGGCCCAGAACACCCTGGCCTGGAGTCTTATTTGCCCTCTGGTGCTCTCAGCAAGTCAGCTCCTGGCTCCTTCTGGCACATTCAGGCCGACCATGCGTACCAGGTATGGGGCTGGGGCATGCTGGGAGCTCAGCCTTGTGGCCATGAGGACGTGTTCCGTGTCTGAGCTGCCACCAGCTAGCCTGATCACAGGCCACTGACCACCATGATCGAAGGCTGAGCTCTTTAGCTAAATTGCTTGTCTCTACTACGAAGAAAAGGAAAATGACTTCACACTCAATAAATGTGGGAATTCCCGAGTTCTTCATCAGTGGCTGCCTTGAGTGATTTTTAGAAATCTGGCTAATGCTCTGAGTAACCAAGTTGATGGATTGCTCTGGGTAATTGATACATCACTGGTTATAAAAGGGGGCAGAGTAGTGCAGTTGGGCTTCCCAGAGCAAATCCCGAGTTCCTATGTTAACAAACAATTGGCACCCAGTTTTTGAATACCTTCTGTGTGTCAAGCAGTGGGCTGTGCTTTTCAGATAGAAGAGTAAGATTTAGTCCCTCACCTTGTGAAGTACATGGGTTAGCTGGAGAGACAAATGAATATGTAACTGTGATTAATTATAATAAATAGTCAGTGTACCTAACTCAAGATATTGTAGGTTCAGGAAGGACCAGGCTACTATGCCTGGTGTGGTTGGGAAAGTTGTCATGGAGGGGATGACATTTAGGATGGTCTGCACTGCACATAGTAAGTGCTCAGTGAACACACAGCTTGCTGTGTGCCACTTTTTCTTAAAAGCCTTATATGCTTGTAGCTTATTAGTTTTATCAGACTCTTGGCTGATTTGCAAGTTAGTAGTTAAAAAGCAATGCTTTCAATTAGAAAGCCTTTACAAAATGAACCAACTCTCCTCATTAGAATGACTGGTCACTTAGCTATTAAATGTTTGGCCGACTTCAGATGGCCCTCCAGGCCGCTGGCTAACCCTGTGAGATGGGGCGCAGAGAGTGTGGCTTAGTAGACTTAAACATGGGCATCAAAGAGTGTTGCTGGGGATGCCACATACTTTGTGCAGCAATGCACAGAGGCTTTTGGACATCTTTAGGGAACTGCCTACAGCATGTTCCTGGTAGGTGATCCAGCCAAGAAGTTAATCCGCTATGATGATTAAGCCTTGAGGCTGACGTGTACACCAGCTCTGAGCTAGGGGTTCTCAAAAAAGAGTAGAGCCTGGCACTAAGGAGTCGAAGAGCTGGGTGCTCATATGTTTCTCTTGAGAAGAACATTCTGTTGTATCCCAGTACTTTCCAGTCAGAGGTGCACCTTCTGCTGTGGACCACGAAGTTGCAGGGGGACTAGGTGGACTCTGGAAGCTCCCTGCGCTGGGATCCAGGCTGATGCTCTCTTGTCTCCCGCAGGCCCTGCCATCCTTCCAGATCCCCGTCTCGCCACACATCTACACCAGTATTAGCTGGGCGGCCGCCCCCTCCACGGCCTCCTCCCTCTCTCCGGTGAGTGTGCCCATTGTCCCTGAGCCCGCTAGCACCTTGGGGTCCTGAAACAAGCTGAGGGCCCTCCCAACATGTACCCCGTGCTGGAGGCCATCTCCCCGCACTTGCTTTTAGCAGCCAAACTTCTCGAAGATCTCCATGTACTCACCCCTCTTGCCTAGAACTCCCCAGCTGGCCACATAGAACATAGAACAGATGTTCTTTTAGAACATAGAAGGAAGGTACCTGCAGAGGAGTACCCGGATCAGTCAAGTTTATTACCAAGAAAAATCATGAGGCGAGGTCAGGGTCAGTGCCCTGTTTAGCCCTGAGCATCTGCAGATGCTTGTTAAGAAGGGAGAGAATGTGGGAAAGCTGGAGAGGAAGAAGGTGGGCAGGGAAGTCTCAAGGCCACTGTGGACCAGTGCCTTAGACTGCTTGCCTCTCAACTAAAATAAATTGGAAGTCACTCGAACCACACATAGTGGGTTCTAGTCTTAAATATCTCCCATAGGAAGGTATCACACACTGTAAAAGCCTGAGGGCCTAAAGTGCCATTGAGGCAGTGCAGTTTCTCCTTTTGTGTCACATATAGTGACTTCATCTAAATCTGCAGGAAGAAGTCCCCGAGGTGGCCAGGGCAAGTGGTTCCCCTGCTTGTGGCTCCTACTATAGCATGAGTGTAGCTTAAAAACCTACTCCTCTCTCTCCAGCCTCCCCTCCCTCCTGGGCCTCTGCTCACCTCTGCCTAGAATATCCTTCCAGAGAAGACTTCCTGGCCTCCTGGCACTAGGAGGGCCTCCGCAGGTGTGACCACATGTCCTGTAGAACGGTTCTCTCACCTTTCACTTGTGCTTATGACCCCTCTACTTGCGCCCAGGTCCGGAGCCGGTCGCTAAGCTTCAGCGAGCCCCAGCAGCCACCACCTGCAATGAAATCTCACCTGATTGTCACTTCTCCACCCCGGGCCCAGAGTAGTGCCAGGTGAGACTGTCTGCTCCTGTGGCCTCCCTTGGGCTTCTGTCCCCATTATCTCCACCTGACCCTGGTCTCCAGGCAGGGGGGGTGTGTGGAGCCCAGCTGAGGACACTCTCCGCCTCTGTCCCTGCTGGCTCCCACCCCTTCCAGCCTCCGCTGGTTCATTCAGCCTCACACCTGGCCACTCTCCAGGTCTAACCACCAGCGCGTGACTGTACCCTCATTACTCTCATTTGGCAGGAAGGCCCGTGGGGAGGCTAAGAAGTGCCGCAAAGTGTATGGCATTGAGCACCGGGACCAGTGGTGCACAGCCTGCCGCTGGAAGAAGGCCTGCCAGCGCTTCCTGGACTGAACCCGTCCAACCGGCTCCTCCTCTTTGCTCCTGGCCTTGATGGCAGCCAGATGACAAAAGACAGATGCGTGAGCCCTCAGCAGATACCTAGAGATAGAGTGGACACTGGGAGTTTGGGCTCTATTGGCTAAGGTTTAATACTTAATACCTTTTCCCTTCCCTGGTGGGAACATTTTATTTTTTAAAAAAAGAAACGAACTTATTTTTTCCCCTCAAATAGGAGAGAGCCAAAACTGACCAAGGGTATTCTGCATCAAACCAGAGACCAAAGAATTAATTACCCTCCCTTTCCCACATCCCCTCTCTCTAGGGGATTAGTTTGTACGCATCAAAAGAAGGAACAGCTCATTCTGTTTCCGGCTGAATTGGTGAATTCTTTGCTTTTTCTACTCTTCCAGAAGGGACTCTGAGCAAGATGAATTCACTTTTCTTTAAAACATAAGTTTCTGGCTGATAACTCAGAGAGCAGGACTTACCCTGGATGGGGTGGGAGGAGCTGGGGCATCTGGGTGATTTTTAAGGTGCAGCCGGCTCTTCTCCACCTGAATCGTGGAGATGGGAGAACATGTGCTCACCAAGCAGCTTTCCTGGGAAGTAAAAGGAAAACCGTTTCTTGGTGACAACTCTTTGAATCTGGGTCCCCTCAGACGTTGGGTGGCATCCCAACAAATAATGTATGGCTTCTTCTCAAAGCCCAGACTAATAGATTTTTTAAAAGACTGTCCCCAAATAGCTGAGCCAAAAGGCTAATAGGAGTTCACTTTCTGAAATGTGGCAGTTAAACACTACCTTGAGAGTCTTTCCTCTTTCCTTGAGGACAAGCCAGAGAGTTTGAAAATCGGCAAAGCTCTCTGTTGTGATCCCAGAAAATAAACTCCATCTTGAGTTTCCTCCCTCCAGTGATGGAAATGACGCCTCTGATGGAAATGACACCTCTAAAACTCTTTGTTTTTTTTGTTTTTTTTTTTTATGGTTTTTTATGTTTTTTTTTTTATTTAGAAGCCTTTATCTGATTAAAGTTCCCTTTTATTGGGGCGGTAGGTTCCTTTTTTTCTCTGGTTTCACCAGGGATTTCCCCGTTGTCCTCCGAGGCCGCAGGCAGGGCCAGTGCGGGGGAAGGAGAGAGAAGAGCCTAGATAGAAAGATTAAGTGGCAGCTTGCCCCATGATGGAGAAGCTGACAGGTCCCCCATTATTCGGTGGGCTTACCTGCCTATTTGGGAGCTATCTGATCTTCTTCCTTAGGTGATACGTAGGACAGGACTCTAGGCAAGGAGGAGGCTTCTGGATATTTTTTTTTACCAGTGTTAGGTGATGAAGATCACTTTGATGCAGTGTGACCTGCCCAGGTACCTGCTGAGCATCGTTTCTTGTCTAAAGATGGGACGGAGAATGTTTAAGAGAGTCCTGAGGACATCCTGGGAGGAGTCCCTGGGGTTGAAGTCACAGCTCCTGGTGCTTCAGCCCCTGGAGTTTCTAGAGGCCTCAAGACTTGAGGGTAGATTGGACAGCATTGCTTGGGAGGTAAATAGACAAAGGTGTTCTCATGAAGAAGGAGGGAGAGGTGTGGGGAGTTTAGTGCCCTGCTGACCAGTGGTCGATTAGGGTGAGCTGGGCCCTGAGGGCAGGCATGCGTTTGTTTGGAGCCTCGCTTTTTCTTCGTGTGTGTGACAGTGGGGATTCCTCAGGGCCTGCTTGAATGGGTGCCTAGCTCGCTGCCTTGGACCTATGTCAGGGGCTAAGGGAATCCTACCCCTTGGCTCTCATTGAGATCATCCTCTTGGTCCCAGGGGGAAATACCTGGCTATGGAACTCCTCTTGCCGCTTCTCATGGGAAATGTGCATATGTGCATATGCTTCTCAATTCAAGACATGTTGAGTCTTAGAAAACTTGCCAACCTAAGAATAGGGGCTTGACGTTGTGAAGGGTGATGGTGACCTGGGTTTGGTGACAGAAGGGAAAGACAGTTATGCACAGGTGTCTTTGGTGGTGATGGGGTATATTTTTATAACTTAGTAAAGAAATAGATGTGGAATCTGTCTCTTGGTAAATCTCAAAACCAGGCCAGCAAGAGATGGCCCAGGGTTCTTTTCCCTTCAGCCTCCCTGAGAATTAAAAGCTGACAGCAGGACGTTGCATGTCATGATTCTACTCACTTTGCACACTGTCCATTTTCAGGTCTTCTCAGGGAGGGAAGGGAGTGTTTGAGACGCGGGGACTCTGCCCAGCCCCGTCTTTCCTTTTCTCCCGAATCTGAGTTTTTGCTGAGTCTCGTCTTTAGAAAAGCTGTGTTCATTTGCCCCCTTCACTTTGGATCACGTAGATATAACTGGATATAAAGATTTTTTTCTAAGGCGGGTAGGCTTCTCATATCATTAGTACACAGGACAGGAAAGGAAGAGAGAAAGAAGAAATTGACGAAACCGTATAAAAACCGAGGTGGTTTTATTTCTTGGTTTATTTTCTTGTGTTTTGTTTTGGTGCAGCTTTTCCCGTCTGCATTCGGTCCTCCTTTCGGGTGGTGGCTGCCTCCTGCGGCCCCGCTCCTCCCACACCTCCATCTTGTGGCTGTTGTGTTGGTTCTTGACATGTCGTCTGTCCTTGGGGTCACGACCCCATTTGTTTCTTCTCGGAGGGTGGGGTGGTTGTGAACTGGTCCAGCGATCATGCCTGTTTGTTCATCTCTACATCTCTCCCTACTTCCCAGCCCACCTGGGCCGCAGAATCTGATAGATGGTGAGATGCCATAGGTGCGCTTTCGAAACTAACAGGACTGATTGTCAGAAGCAGTTATCTTGGGGAACTTTATTCCAGTGACGTGACCCTCACTCGGAATTACCTGGGGAGTCTGTGGTGCCTGCTCTGACCAGCCTTAACGATACTAAATCTACACTCATTCAGTGCAGAGAAAGTCTGCGAATGTCTGTGGTCAAGCGAGGTCACAGGTGCAGAGCGCAAGGACTGACCAGTGAGCAAGAGAGCTTGGGTTTAATTTTGTGACGTTTAAGCTGGCTGTGAACGCGGTTTTGTAATTTCAGAGACCGTTTGGAGCAATGTCCACATCGTGACAGTAAGCCGCAGCTTGGCTCCTTGGAGGACATTGTTAACTTGGATGTGGAAACTGATTTGTTTGAAGAAGTCTGTCCTGTTACTTTCTGGTCCTCCCAGGTTCTGACTTTACCAGGGGCAGAAAAAAGAAAAAAAAAAGAAAAAAAAGAAAAAAGACAAAAAAAAAAAAAAAAAAGAAGAGGGAGATAAATCCCATCTGTGAATTTGTCTTATTGGCGCCTTTTCCCCCAGCTGTCTTCCAAGTATTATTTTTACTGTTAAAAAAAATTTTTTTTTAAATGTGAAATGTAATGTTTTTACAGCAACAATATGAAATATATTTTATAAGGAATAAAATGGTACATTGTCTGATTTAATGTGTGCCTGTCCCTCTGCCCCTTCCCCCTGCAAAGGATAAGATTGTCATTGTCCTTGGTGCTAAACCAATGATAGCATGTCACACTGTGGGCAAAGCACACATAGTCATTTGCTTATGGCAACAGTAGGTAACATGACCAGGGACTAGGCCAGGTGCTTACATGGATTACCTCAGTAACCCTGTGAAGGCGTTACTATTATCACATTTTACAGGGGAAGACAGTGAGGCACAGTGGTTAAGTAACTTGCCCAAGGACAAACTTGGGAAACAGTGGCACTGGGGTTGTAACCTAGGGGTAGTCTCTATCTTCTGTCTTATGCTGACAGTGGGGAGCATGTTCTCAGCCATATGCCTGAGTTTACTGGGGAGTGAGCAAGGGCCGCAGGAGAAAATAAGTCCCACTGTCCTTAAGGAAAGGGTTCTGACCCTAGGGAGCAACTCGAGCCATTCCCTGAATTCATCGGTTCCACGTACTGTGAAGGCCAAGGGCCGCTTGAAGCTGGCCTAGGTGAGGAGGGTGTTGGGAGCAGAAGGCACCATCCCGCCCGTGCTGCAGTGGGGCTGACTGCGTTAGGCTATTTTAGTGTCTGGGACCATGAGGTATGTCTGGGAGCAGGTTCTAGGGACCCCGAACAGGGCCTGACAGTGAGGGCGATGCCACCCTGAGAAGACCCAGGGACTTGATTACAGTCGATTAAGCCCAGAAGCCGGTGAAACTGGTGTGGGAGGTTGTCTTTTGGCCTTTTTCATGACCTTTCTCCCCCTTCCCTTGTCCCTGCTCCACCCCATCTAGAATCTGCTGCTCCACTGCAGTTTGCCCAAGCCCCCCAAGTCAGTCACTGCCTTTGAGCCAGACAGTCTCTGTTTGCAGCCCTGGGCCCGCCCAGACTTACTGTTATGGCTGCATCCACGGACCCCCTAACTTTCTGGCTTCAGGTTGTGTTTGACCAATAGGAGACATCAGGCTAGAGTTTGAAGGACTGGAGGAGAGAGGGGTTGGGGTGTTGCCTCCCACCTTCCTGCACAGTGCAACAGTGGCAGCGACCCGCTTCTGAGAACTACAGCTTAATGGGTTCCAGTAACTCCCCCTTGCCAGGTCTCCCTGGATCCTCAAGAGTGCCCTGCTCTTTCTTACTGCCCTGTTTCCATTACAGACAGTCAGCTCTCAGTTTCTCTGTCAGGGTGCGTCGGGCATTTCTTGGCTGGACTCTGACGGTTACACACCTTAAATTGGAGATAAAAGTGACAGCAGTAGGTTCACCTACGCTCTGCCCCTTACCTCGCGTCACAATCCAGCGATCCCAAACCAGTAAGTCCCAAACCACCTGGACTTGTTGAAACTGCAAATTTCTGTTGAGTCAGGGCAGGACCCGTTGGTGATGTTGACATGCGTGAGGAGTTTCTGAGAACCCTACCTGCTCTGTCCCACCCATATGTCCACCCACTTGCATCTGGGGACACAGCTCATGCACACATATCTTGCCTATCATACTTTACATAAAGCAGAGCCATGAACTTTTTGCCTCTGTCTCTCAAGAGAAGGTGGTGTGTTTGGAGTCTGTGCTTCTCAGGGGCTTCACTTAAAAACAGCCGACCAATTTATGAACCATTTGCTCAGTAGAAGTTTAATGGAGAAATATCTGTTTAAAACAGTCAAAAAGAACAGCTCTTTTACAAACAAGTTTTGGCAGTGACAAGTCAAAACCCCAGGCTCGATGTCCTGTTCCTTTAACCCACCCCTGGAAGAGGAAAGAGGCGGGTGAGAAGGAAAGATGGGGCTGTTTAAATGGGAGCTGGAGGGATTACAAAAATACACTCTGATGCAGCGACGGGGTTGTCATGAAACATGCCATGGAGGGAGGTGGGGGGAGGGAAAGACGGCCAGACAGAGGTTCTGCGCCCTGGGCTGGACACCTGGAGGCAAAGCCTGCCTCAGTGCCCTGGGGAGGAAGGAATCCTGATGCCCAGCCGGCAGTTCCGGGGCTGGAGACATGCGGTTTTGGGGATCACCTGGACACCTGAGGAGACAGAAGTTTATTAAAATGGCAAACCGGATTGTCTTTTTGACCCTTCAATCCTATTTGACTGAGCAATGAGAAAAAGGCAAAGAAAAGCTACCAATCGAATAAACATCCCCTAAAGTGTTCAGAAGGGTTCCCCAACTCCCTCTACACACCTGCTTTTCATATATATATGTATGATATATGTGTGTGTGTATACACACACACACACACACACACACACACAATTATATAGTAGACTATTATATAGTCTGCTGGCATGAATGACAGAATAAAGGGGAGGTCTGTGGGCTGGGGCTTGAAAGGCACACGATAGGCCCCCTGACCAGAAACAGTTCTCTTATCACTGGTATTTGGAATCCATGTGTAGTAATTCATTTCTTGAGGCTAAATCATGCCCTCATTTATGGGTCTCATATTACAAGTGCTCTTTGAGCCTGATTTCACTAAATCCTCACCATGAATGAATCTGCTCATTTTCTACTGTCTAGAAGGGTCAGGGGCTGAGGCAGCAGAGGAGAGGAGGCAGTGTAGGGGCAGGGAAGGGGGTGGTCGATACCTGGACCACCATTCCATCTAGGACTGGTCCTGTACCCAGTGTCCCTCCTTCCTAGCACATTATCACACTTTCTGAAGAGGGTTCTTTAGCCCACTCCAGTGTTAGGTGGCCCCATTTTCTCTAGCCTTATCAGTATAGACTGGTACTGGGTAGCTCAAGAGTCCAGATCAGCTCTGGCAACTGGTGTCCCCCAAGACAGAGAACTCTCAAGCATGTATAGGGATGGTTGGAGTGTGTGCAGGTGAATAAAGACAGAGTTCAAGTCGCCTGCTATGGACTCAGATGCACGTCCATGTTGGAACTCAGCAACCCATAATATGTGAAAAAAGAAATAGATGGTTGCAGAAGGACAAAGGAAAGCGATCGATAAAACCCAAATGGGCCGACTAATGTTTTCAGTGTTTCCATCAAGATCTTTACATGTTGAACAAAGCAGCAGATAGAAGCTAGTTACCAGTTTTGTTTCAGTGCCTCTCAGCTGGAAGCTTAATAGAAAATGAGAAAAACCATTTGCCTGAATAGGGGCTCAAATCGTTTTTTTTGTTTTTTTTTTTTTTTTAAATAAATCGATTCCTGCTAATGTGACTGATTTTAAACTGTCTTTAGGTAGAGAAAACGGTTCTTTACCTAAAGTAGTTCAGAATTAGACATGAGCTTGTGTCCCTTAAGAGCCACTTTGAAGAAGAACGTCTTTAAGATTCGAAAGAATTCAATATGTGCTACTTCTGAACGATTTATTGTTAGGCACTTTGCAGATATGGCTTAGGAAGAAACAGAATGCTTGTTAAGGACCCAGGAGTATGACTTCAAAAACAGTGCAGGTTAATTCAGGGCCTTCGGAGATTAGACGTTAGGCTAAAGTAAACGTGGCATCCCTCTCACAATCTAACACATATGTCCGTGTTTGGTAATGGACCTCTTGCAAACAAGCTGGCCTACCTTCAAAGAGCCGTGTGAGCTGCCTCATGCTGATGTGTGAGCGCCAAAGAATATACTTCGAAAGAAGATTTTTTACGATCTGGCTACTTTTGACGTACAGGATGCAAAATAAAACAGCACATATGCAGGCTTTTTTTTTTTTTTTTTCCATGCCTCTGAGTCAGGGGAAAGTCCCACTTGGGTAAGGTTTTGGGAATGTTTTTGACCAACTGATTTGTTCTTTCTGTTAGGGCAAGTTTCTAGACTGTTTAAGAAGAGGTCTGAGAGATGATCGTATTCCCATACATGAATTAAGGCACAAAAGCTTGATGGATTTTCTTAGATTTTCAGAAGATTCCACTGTGCTAGTTTCCTGTGCCACTCAAGGTTATGTATAGCATGTTGATGGGCTGAGGAAAGTTAAGTTTGTAATGACTGGGCAATAAATTAGGGTCCTTGATGTTTATTATCTGAGATGTATTATAGGTACATATACCTATGGCCGTGGGGGTAAGAACGGAACAGAGGGGACAGAGAGATAAGGGCAAGCATGCAAACAAAAACAAAAGGAAAATGGCCCTGGGAAAGAAGCGAAAAGTGAGGAAAGGTGATGAACCCTTAGTCCATATTCTAAAAGCTGTTGGGTCAGTTGGGCCAAATTCTCAAAGCCTTGCTCAGTGATGATGTTATTTATTTATTTTTATTTTTATTTTATTTTTGTGATGATGTTATTGACTGCAAGGAATCAGTCTCTCTGGCAAGGTAACAGGACGGACACATGACAAGTGGAAGAAAGACAAGCAGAAAATGTAGCTCCTGGTCCTAACAAGAACTCCTTGACTGGGAGAGAGTGAGAAAGATTCACGGTTTCCACGGAATCCAGTCACTTTGAGATATAGGGGTGGGGTGACACAGGAGGGGACAGCAAAGCCGTCTTTTTAAAAAATTAATTTATCTATTTTATGGTGACATTGGTTAATGAAATCCAATAAGTTTCAGCTGTACACTTTAACAGTAAGGCATATATATATTTAGACTGAGTGTTCACCTCCCATAGTTAGATTTCTTTCTGTCACCACATATTTGACCCCCTTTACCCAGCCTGCCTCCCACTCCCCCTCCCCTCTGGTAAGCAAAGTTGTCTTTGAAAGTGATATAGTAATATTAAAACTACAGAAATCAGACTCTTTGCAAATGGCTAAGGGTAGGTCCAGCTATCGATTCTTAGAGATAAAGTCTCCGAGGAAAGGTGAGCTGAATGGTTGCCATAGTAACTGGATAGGAGGATTGGTCCACTTAACTGTCCCCATAGTAACTAAGCTCCTGGAGAGCTATAGAGGAATTAGTTATCTTAACCTACTACTATTATCCCCATAGTAACCAGTCTCTAAATGGCAGTAGTCAGCCTTAAGGAGCAATCCTAAAAAATCTTTTCTCCCTAGACAAAGGGTGGGCAGGAGGCAGGGGGGTGAATATATCTCCCAGGCCTCCAGGG